CATTCTATCTCGGTTTCATACAATAAAGATATCAAACTCACGGTTGACCGATCGAATACGCTGGGAACTAAACGGGAACTTTATGTTAATAAGGATTTTGAGTAGGTGCAAGAACTCACGGGAAAAGAAGATGGTAGACTGGAATCCCGCATTTGGCCTCTCATGAGCGGATCGATGGAGATGTATAGCAATTTGATAAGGACACTGCCGTTCAAGGGAACGGCTTCAGGGTCTATGGTATTAGTGGTATCATAAAGGGCGGATTTCCCCGGTTCAGGAAGTCCTGCACAGATAGTTCATCATTCGTGTAAAAAGCAATACAGCGAATATGAGCATACCTGAAACAGGGGCATTGAATATAAGCTTTGTGTTGCGGATTGGGGCCATAGTAAGTGAGAGAGGAGGTGCAGTAAAGTCGAGTAGAGCATATCAATTTATATAGCTGCATCCGCTCCCTGTATGAATAACGCATGAATAACGGACTCTGTCAGCCATTGACCTGAGCGATACAGAAAATAACCGTCTACTCACCAACTCTGACCACGGCTATATCTGTTTAGCCGAACATCTGGTAAATGATCATCAGTGCATCAGTGAGTGTCAAGCCTCGTTCGCACGCGATTGAGGTTAAAAGTTATTTCTCTACTTTGTTCTGTGTCGAGTGGGGTCCTCCAGAAATAAGTGGTTACAGACTGTGACGAGAGGTTTGATCGGAGAGGCGAGTAAAGCATGTATAATTGGCAAGTTGAAACTGATTGAATCGAATTAGCGGTGCCTCTCTATCAGGTTTGATCGTTTCTTGCTTGCCAGGGCTCATGGACCCGGTTCGGGAAGTTATCGTTGAACTTTCCTTGCCACCGAAGAACTCGCATGTATTTTAAGAGAACGGCCTAGATCACCGTGGTTATTGAAAGGATTCCTGCGGCGCAGTTACTTCTAGGTAGGACAAGATATGACATCAGGCTAGCCTTGAAATACTAGAACAAAACAGTTTGACTTTGTTCTTATCGCATTCTAGTCAGTAATCAATATATACAGGTGAGTACAACCAATGGATACCTTCAGCCCCAACTAACACGACAAGTATTCAGATCATGCTCGATCTTCCTACCATCAATGCCTCCGAGGTCCCACCGCCAGATTATACCTCCGCTCTCGGCTCAGATGCTTTCAGACGACAAAACCCCAGCATCTCCTCGTCTCAATCTGTCAATTACCTCTCCATAAATCAACTTGTCGGTTCAATAGAATGTACTCACATTCTAGACCCTTCCCTTCATATCCCCGAGTCGTTACTACCTCCGTTAGCAATCGGTGAGACAGAGTGGGCAAGGAAAAACCTCAGCCTGAAAGGAAAACTTGGTGCGGTTGAAGCTGATATTACGTTACACTGCGAAGAGCCTCAGGAAACAACGAACCAGTCCAAGTTCTCTACAAGGGTCAATATGGAAGTCCAAACTTCCGTCGGCGCGATCTCTGTCAAGCTGGTGTGTATTATCATTGAATATTGATAGAAAATTAAACTGAATATTCAAACAGCGAGATCCTCCGACTCCTTCTGTAGGAAAGCGCTGGCCATTCCATTTATCGTGCTCAACTCACATTGGGCAAATAAATCTCTTCATACCTCGATCCTTCCAAGGTTTCATAGATGTCTCTACGACTGTAGGGCATGTTGTACTTGCTCCTGATGTTACCAAAGTTGTACGCTGGACGGATTCCAAAATCAGAAGGAGAAGATGCTTTTTAGGTGCCTTGGTGAACGCGGCAAACAAGGAAAGTATAGATGAAGTGGTTTTAAATACTCTGGTCGGTTCTGTGGAGATCGCATATGTTGATGGTACTGTATCTTAACATTTAAGTCAGGTTTTGAGTTCCGAGTATCATGATATAACTTATCTTGAAGTTTGGAGTTGCGGTGGTACAAAAATAAGAGATGCCACGTGGCGATCGCTCGGACTTGAATAATAATATAATATACTCGATTCTTTTTTCTTCCAATGCTTTCATGGCCCCATTGGACTCGGAATCCGATTCTGACTACGAACTTTCCCCTATGGACAAAAATCTGCCCCCAGAACGCTCCCTGACTCCAATGGACTTGGAAAGCCAATCCGAAGGGGAATGTTCAGCAGGCTACCTTTACAACTAAATAGCTGACGAGTCCGTAGTGTTCAGCAGCAGGAGTTCATCGAAGGAGATACCTGAACTCGCTAACTCCTCCTCCTCTCGTCAGCGACAGGTTCAGAAAGGAAAAAAGAAAACGAGAAAAACTAACTGTGTCAATCGTTCCCCTTTTAGGCATTCGCGGGACAAGCCACCATCGGGTCCCTATTCCAAGCCCAAGGACGAGCCATTGGCTACGACACGTGTTCCAAGGAGTTCGTATGGACGAGCAAGGTGCGTATTATCCGTGACCTCGGCGGATTTGCCTCTTTGCACCGTATCAATGCGTGCTGATGTGCAGTTTTTTGATCAAGTTAAAAGGTTTTTCATAGTGTTTCTTCTCAGAAACATGTTCAAACTGTCTTTTTTTTAGGAACCGGATATCAAAGTACTCACTTCCGTCAGGAAACCTCGATACAACAAGACACGTCGAAGACGCGTGCGCCGTAGGCAACACTATCGTGCTCGCGTACACCCATGCTCCTGTCCAGCTTTCTTACATTCCTATTTCTCACAACAAAAGGCCGAATCTCGTTGATCTCGAACATACCCCGCATCAAACCGTCGAATCCCAGACAAATGTCAAACATCGCCCTCCCAAACTTTCCAGATGTCTTGCACCGGGGCCTGATCCCTTGAAGGATGTTTTGACCGCGGGATACGACAGATCACTTCGAAAATGGGCTTTGAAATGGTTCTAGATAGGACGCCGACCGTGATAGCTTGTCATCGCTCAAGCTTATTAGTGGGACTTGGTATGGTCCTTCAGACTCACCACGAGATCCCGCTATGACTTCAAGAATTCGAGTCAGAAGGGAAGTCAGTTTTGACTGCATGTCAATACTAGTTTTGTCGTTGGGGATATCAAAGCTGCTATACTCGCTTGTACTTAGAGTTACGATTTGAATCATGTTACTCGGAAACCCATCTCGGCGAGGATGAGTAACGGGATTCAGCACGTATATTTCCATCCTGACGATTCAAGAATGAGCATGGTTGAGGCGAGAGCTCATCATTTTACTATCTGAGCACAGGATCTAACTTATGTGTATTTATGCGTATTCCAAGGTGGATCACCTCGACACCCAGATTCATATATACGACTCTCGTAAAAGCGAAAACCGGGGTTATAGCCGCAGATCAGACTGTTCATTTGGATATCGGGCAGAGGATGTGCCAGGAAGGCCACGAACGGGATTTACAAAAGGAAGTACTAAATTTTGTTACTTTGTGAGGGGATACCACGATGGGACTATTTGTCTCTGGGATTACCGTAATTGTAAGGTGTATAAGTTTGGTGCGGTTCTCAAATGCTAAACTTAGTTCTCTGCCTTCCATTTGTCAGAGTCCGGTTGCGAGCCAACGCCAAGCTCATGGAAGCCTACCGTCTCAACTACCTCGAAACAGGATACTTGTACGTATACAAGGGTCGAGATACTTCTATCAGAGTCCGATTGCGAGCCAGCGCCAAAGAGATACAGAGATAGTTCATACGCTATGCATGGATGATGAGTTTGTAGCATTTGGCGGAGACACGATTAGCTTTATGGATCTCAGTCTGAATATGTTACCTGCACGGTGCTAGTGTTCTGTCTCTATTCCTTGGACAAGCCCGTGATTACAATACTACTTTCGCCATAAGGCTTAGCCAACTCAACGTCGGACTGGCTGGTACTCCAGAAGAACTGGCCAGTGATGAAAAAGAGTCGAGACTAACCTCGAGATTGTCACTAATTCAGTATCTTAACGCTCATCCTATTGGATTGGAAAGAAACTCCACAGTAGACCGTTCGAGATTCCGTTCTGAGTCATGCTTCTCGGACAGTCGGATGTTACTTGCTATAATTATCGGATTCGTTCATTGCTCGACTCCGACTGGTAGGTAACTAAATCACATATAAGAACTGGTCTCAACGTCTCATTTGCAACAAAACCATCCAGTTCAATCTACCTAGTCATGTCTACAGCCCCAACAAACCCACTCTCTCATCATCCCAAGGCTTTAGCCGTCCTTTCTCGTCTTCACGCATTATCCATCGAGCAAGAGAAAGCCAGGGGTGCCAGGGGAAAGCATTTCCCCAAACTCAGCAATTTCGGACCCTTTTCAGACGACGCTGATCTTGCGAATCCGAGTGATTTCGTGGAAGAGTTGGTTGCTCTTGACGAAGACAAAGCTCAAGCCATGTATATGATTCTACGAGCGATGGGAGCGATGAGGGTAGTCGAAGGTAAGTAAATCTCGTCCGTTCCCCTCGGCTCAGCTTCTTAAACTCAATTTTAATTTACATGGCAGCCGGGACATCATATGGTGTATCATTGATCTATCTCCTTTGCGCGGTCATTGACAATGCCAAAAATGCAAAAGTGGACAGGTTGCCTCCGCTTGTCATAGGAACAGAACTTGAACCTGCAAAGGTCTCAAAAGCGCTTTCGCACGTTCAGGAAGCATTCGATGGTCGCACTCCAGAAATTCTCAACCTCCTTCAAGGAGACCTTCTCGAAACTATCCCGGCTCTCGCTCTCCCCGATAGTTCTGTCGATGCTCTTCTTTTGGACATCTGGGCTCCATTGGCATTGCCAGTGTTGAAAATGATGCTCCCAAAGTTGAGAAAGGGTGCTGTTGTGTTTTTAGACAACAGTATATCTTCGGTTGAAAGGTACAAAGATGTTCTTGAATTTCTGAGAAGTGGGGATGACGAGACGAGAATGTTCAAGTCTATTTCTTTGCCGTTTGATGGTGGCTTTGAAATGTGCGTATACGAAGGAAATTAAGTAGTGTGGATATTGATAGAGCTAGTGCTGAGTCACAAAATGGAACCTTCAACACAAACATATGGACACTGGGAGAGTCGAACTCCCGACCTCACGCAAATCAAATGCGAAGCGTGCGCGCTACCAACTGTGCCAAGTGCCCTTCAGGCCTATCTCGTAAGACTACCATTCCGAATCCAAATCCTATCAGATAGAGTGTGTCTGACCGTGGAACAAGGTGGGATCCAATGAGTTTAGTTGACATATCCAACGAATGAATCTACGGGAAGAGAACAGTGGAATGAACCGAAATGTGGGATGACGTGTGTATATCCGATTTATAATGTCAGGGGAAGTCTATGCCAAGACAGGAAATCATTGAAGAATGACCCCGACAATCTGCTGTAGGTTAAAAGGTTTAGGAGCCCTGTGACTTCCCTTAGTATCTCTTCAACCCCCACATTGATTGGTTGTCATGCCATACACCTCTTTCGACGAAATCGAGCAGGTAACGTCTCCTCTCAAGCTAGCGAAAAGGAGTCTACTCACCGTGACGCACTCGCCAGATTCATGCTGACCTGCACAAGAATTTTCGTACAAAGATTACCCTCCCGTTGGCATTCCGCCAACACCAAGCTCTCCAACTCGCTAGAATGGTGAGGGAGAATCACAAACGGTTCGCAGATGCGATTTGGAATGTGAGTCGACCTCTTTTCACGGTGACGAACGCGACATATGCCTCCATGTAGGATCTTGGAAAGCCTGCCTTTGAAGTCTACCTTTGCGAGATCAACCCAATCGTAGAACGGTGCATCTTGACTGCCAAGCGACTCCCCGAGTGGATGCAGCCTGAAAACAGGGAGAACATCGTTGCCAAACCTCATCAGAAAGAATGGACTCCACGAGTCTATAGGGCACCGAAAGGTGTTGGCGTCGTTATCGCGTACGTATCAGTTTCAAATGTTGTTCTCATTTTGGAACAACTTTACCATTACACAGACATTGAATACCGCTTTTTTAGCCCATGGAACTATCCCATGATCCTCTCCTTGCAACCCTTGCTTGGTGCTATAGCAGCAGGATGCTGTTGCGTACTCAAGCTATCCGAAATCTCCCATCATTACGCTGAAGTCGTAGCGGATCTAGTACCTAAATACCTCGACCCGCGTGCCTATCGCGTCGTTCTGGGAGGTGTCCCAGAGGTTACCAGGCTCCTCGAGCTCAAGTGGAACCACAGTGCGTCATCCCTTTATTCATATCTCCAACGCGACACTCGCGCCAACTCTAACCTTAAGTACTTACTGATCCTGTGCTTGCTATAGTTTTCTACACTGGAAACGGTACCGTCGCACGCATCATCGCCACGGCCGCCGCCAAACATCTCACACCCCTCACTCTCGAGCTCGGAGGCAAATCTCCCGTGATCATAGACCCTGATTTTGACAATCTCGAGCTAGCTGCTAAACGTATCTTTTGGGGAAAGACCTCTAATGCAGGACAAATTTGCGTATCGCCTGATTATGTCCTCGTACCGACAAAATCCCGTCCGGGTATGATGGATGAATTGGTCAAGGCTTTCAAAAAGGCGTATGCGGAAAGTTTCCCGAACGGTTCTCCACTCGAGTCGAACGACTATGCTCATATTATCAATGAACACCATTTTAGGCGTGTTGAGATATTGTTGGAAGAGACAAAAGGCAAAGTTGTTATTGGAGGAGGAAAAGACCCAAAGACGTTCAAGATGGAGCCGACGATCCTCACGGGTGTTACTGGAGATGATGCGTTGATGCAGGGAGAAAACTTTGGACCCGTGTTGCCTTTGGTAGAGGTTGGGACGGTTGACGACGCGATTGACTTTATTAGCAGTAGGAATCACCCGTTGGTGATGTACGTGTTTAGTGATAGTGAGGAGGTGAGGACGAAAAGTGAGTTGTCGTTCCTTTATTCACATACCCAAAAGTTGACCTGTCTTGTGCAGTTCGCGAAGGTACTTTCAGCGGTGCTCTCATCTTCAACGATACCTTTATACAACTCGACGGTGTGTCCATACCCTTATCATATACACACTGATAACCAACGCATTCCCAGTGAACGAAATGCCCTTTGGCGGCGTTGGCGAGTCTGGCCGTACGTCATTTTGCGCTCCTGATTAGCTTCAACCCACTCACGTCATATTTGATACAGACGGCTCTCAAGTCCTCAAATACACCTTTGATGAATTCACGTACCCACGTAGCTCCCTCACTATTCCCAAAGAGTACGTTATTCTTCGATCATCAGCCTTTTATCTTGTCCTGACTGATCTATCTAGGCTTGAACCCGTCTTTGCCCCGCGTTACCCACCTTACTCTCAAGAGACCTTTGACTTGATGTGTAAACCTGGCCTCGAGATTGAAATTCCAGAGTCGACTCCTGAGACTGGTTTGAAGGCTTGAGGATAATGTTATAGGTATCTGGGCCAAGAATGGACGGACAACAGGAAGGGTAGATTTAATAGTAAAATTTATGTACTATGTATACTATGACCCGAATAACACAATCTGTTTCATGTTTGGGAAAGTAAAGGAAAGCATATTGGGACTATGGACTATTCTAAAATCCGAAGTACTACCGTAGCAACTATGAAATAGAAATAACGAACTATAAGAACTCTACATCCTACTTGATTAGATTTATCAAAAACCGACCATTCCCATACCTTCCGAAGAACCAGAGCATCTAGTACCACATCTATAATCCATCTATTTCATATCCCTCACACCGCTCATCGCAATCTTCAACCCCTCCAAAATCACCAACCTCTCCTTCCTCTCCTCCTCCAACCCCTCCAAAGCCCTCTCCCACCACCTCCCACCTTGATACTCCCCATACCAAACATGCTCCCCAACTTCAACTTCACCTCCAGGTCTACCCACTCCCACTCCCACCGGCCCACTCGGAATATTCTTCCAAACACCCTTCATCAACCTACTCATACTCTTCACCGAACCTCCATGAGGCGCCGAGATGGTTTTGAGGACCCATTTCCAGTGCGGTGGTGGATTTGTATGGCTGTAGGTTTCTATTACCGGGGTTTGTTTCTGGATAGCGTCACCGTTCGTTACAGCAGCGCCGCCGCCGCCGCCGCCCTGGAATCTCCATTTCGATGCAGGCGATACGGGTGTATAGTTTGGAGATGTTGGACTTGGAACGGCTACTTCTGTAGTCGTACCTTTGGGAGGCTCGGAAGGGGAAAGTGGAGACGGGGCACTCAGAGTAACGACTGGGTTTGTTGACTTGTCGTGCGTTGAAAGCGATAAATTCGGTGGAACTGTCGTTGGTGGAGAGAATGGATTCGGCAAAGAGTCTACGCTCTCAGGAGAAGCTGAGAGTGGTGGTGATGGTGGTGGTGCGCACAAACCACTAGCAGCCATGACCAACGTCGGTGGAACGGTTATACGACCGATTTTGAAACACATGAGAGATACCGTGACGGTGTGCAGAGTGTAGCCTTCTTCCTCGTCGTCGGTTTGTTGGGAGGCGAGTTTGGAGGCGAGAGTTCGGACGGTTTGTTCTGGTGAAGTGTCTACGACAATGGTTGGGTTTGGAGTAGTTGATGAGGAGAGAGAAGGTGTCCCAGAGTCGGAGATGGGTGCATGGTTGAACATGGATGGAGTAGTGGAAGCTTCAGGGGATTTCCTCGCCGTTTTAGAAGACTTTTCTTGACCGGGCTTCTTCTTGGTTAAGAATCGGCAGAGAATGTAAGCCTGGGTTATCGCAGTTAGCGCTGATGAGATAGACGGAACCGAATAACGAGAAGGACTAAAAAAAGAACGAGACGATAACCCACCCATTTCTCGTCCCAGCTACCCAAGCTGACTCGCACTTCATACCGACTCATCACAGGTATCTCCTTGATGAAATGGAAATGTGTTGCTGCCAGCGGCATGTGGCCGCCAACTCGAAGAAATTGGGTGAAAAGCTCCCGAGCGAGCTTGAAACGAGCGCCGTCCAGCGCTTTGGCATAAGACGAGTTGGAAAGGTGAAGATTGTAGTCGCACTCGTCGAAACCTGTAGATAAATAATGTCAGGTTGTTTTTAAGAGAGAATAGAGGGTTAGCACGGACTAGCAATGCTCTGGTACACCACATACTGCCCCAATGGGCTCCGTCCAACAGGAGAAATACTTTCTATCCATTCTTCCATTACACGTTGCTTTGTCTTTTTGGAGGAAAACATGCATTTTGCCATTATAAAGAGCTGCTCAAAACGAACATAAATGAGCGGTCTGAACACTCTAACTGTTAGACGCGTTATCAGTAAATTTTTAGTTATTTTCTGCACAAGGTTTTCAACTACACGTACCGTGCCAGACAAAAGGCAACGCACGGGCATTCGCAACGAGCAGAGCCCACAAAAACACCCTTCCTACCGAGTTCCAGCCCAAATGCCTTCCTAATAGCGCGTTTTTCACGATTTCTAGCATTCTAATAGCCCTCTCAGAGACGGTAGAAGAAGGAAGGGAGAGAACCAGCTGCAAAAGAGCGGTTACAAGTGGTAGTTGGCTTGCTCGAGCGAGCTGACCAGGCGAAGCCATTTTTCCGATGCTTAAGCTTCAGGGACGGCCAGCGACGCACGCGGAGGAAAAGACTTTGGGGGTTGGCTTAAGTAAGCCGCTTCAGCGGATATACCGGCAGTCGGACTACTCGAAAGCCGGAGGACTGATAATTTCAAGAGCTTGGATTTTCTAATTGTACACGACATCCTAATAAGAGCCTGTTCAGCAAAAAGTACACGCGCGTTTACTCTGTACACGATTCCTTAATATAGCAGGTGTCCGTACTAGCGTGACCGGAAAGATTTTCCGAAAGATTCCGTGCGTGCTGCGGGAGTTGCCGATACCGCCAGTTTCGGTATATTCTGCAGGGTTTTGTTATTGAAATATTTCATGAGTGTCCTAGCTTGAACGAGGTACATTTATCAGCTATTCTACACCATTAAAGGATGTCGATATCAACCGAAAAAAATTCTTTATACCTGGTGACGGCAGTCGGTCCGCATCAGTCACATAGTGTCACAAAGGTAGAGTAAAGACATCTACTATTTTTAGTAATTGTGTAGAAAGTACACGCGTGTGTACTTTTTGCTGAACAGGCCCTAAAGAAAGCGAATTTAAACGTCCCTCCCAGAATTCTTGACATCAGCCGATTCTTGGATATCCTGTAGCGTTAGAAATCGTCAATGTCCAGCTCAGAGTTCCTAACTGAAACCTACCTCATAAGAATCATCGTCCCTCTCTCGAACAGTGGTAACCATGACTTGAACCGATTGCCCTCGTTCCTCGATAGGAGTTTCTGCCCCGTCTCTCCTATCACGTACTAATTTCCTCATCACCACGGCTGGCGTATCAGAAGTATTTGCTCCATTGGGTTTGGAGCTGGGGGTCGAGGATGACTGAGCATCTTTGGTTACCCAGAAAAGAGCAAGAGCGTTGAAAATGATCTGTTCAAAAGGTGATTTGACTGATCACTGAAATAAGATATGCATGAAACTTACGTCGGTAGTGCAACACGTAAGGCACATCCATCCTCGTTCATGTCCATGCCAGGCAGTGAGAACAGCGACATTTATCGTAGACATTGTAAGTGCCACGGCTGCGGAGCTGTGTATGATTCTCAGTACTTTTTCCTCGACTATAGATTGGGATTTCTATGCACTCACACCAAAGTCCGAGAAGCAACCCGTTGAATTCTCGGGTTCGTCAACTTTGACTTCATGAGAGGCCACAAGAACAGTGCGGTGAGGAAAAATGTAATGTATCTATTAAATGTTTGTCAGAGTCGCGGTCATTGAACTCACCAATACTCACATATCGTAGCTCAACAAGGTCAGTGACGCATAAAACTTGAGCCCAATGTAGCAATATCCATCTCCCTCATGAAGATAGTGCACCCTTCCGATGATCAAAACAATCCCAACGGCAGCATAAAGAAGAATTGTGCCCAATCCAATCAGGTATATGGGAGATCTGAGACGTGGGGTATTATGTGAGGTAGACCATACGACGTGTACTTTTTCGACTGGCAAAGGAAGTAGGAAATCAAGTTAATTAGTTGACTCCAAGAAAATAAAGCGAGACAACGTACTAAGAAACAGATACAACAGCACTTTGGTCGACGCATAAAACACAATACAGAGAAAAACACCCGTCATACAGACAGATAACGATGTTTCCAGCCCAATTCCAAAGATTAGGAGACCACCTGTAATCATATACATGGTAAATCAGCACAGATCCCATTCAAGAACAAGAGATATTCACTGATGAAAAGATAAAGCCATGAATCGATAAACACCAGTGGAATGAGAAGCCGACTCCATGATATATATCGGACATCATCTAGGCTCTGAGGGAGGCGTCGGGACACGCAGTGCGATATAACGGTAATACCTGTATACACCCGAAAGTAATCGTGAGTCACTACATTCTAATCTGTTCGGATCGTGGACGACGCACCGAAGAGGTAAACCAAGCAAACGAGGACCTGAATCCCTACCGACGGAAAGTGCAAGCCGGTAGCCATATCTGCTTTGACAACTGCGGGAATTAAAATAGAGAGAGAGGGAAGAAAGGACTGTAGTTTGAAGGGCAAGAGGGAACGAAGACTATCCTCATAGCGAGAGATTTTAAGTAGGCCCCTTTGAAATTGCATACTACCACCCAGGAGGTGTAGTGTACGTCATTTAGTAGTGCGGTGTATGCTAGGTTAATGCAGTGGAAGCAAAGACGTCGATTTGATCACGATCAAGAACTTTGGTTTTCAGGATGTACCGCAAGTTGGACCAATGAATCTGAGTCGATTTGGATAGCTGCGGTTGCGGATTTGCAGTGACTTTCAGCGAGTGTTCGACGACATAAGCAGAGATTAGGCGAGTAGCTCGTTGCTCGGTGCTGTATAGAACGTAAATTAGGGGCTGTTCTTCTGTTGTTGAAAGTAGCTCATTTTCATTTGACCTTGGATAAGTATTTTCTCTCAGGACAATCAGAGGAAGAGAATGTTTCGGTTTTCTCGGGTGCGACCAACATATATCGAAGCTTGTGTTCCTGATCAGCAATGGAAGGCGCCTCCGTTGGCAGGTTGTCGACTCACGAGCTTTCGATCCGATTTCAGGCACGATGGCCCCAAATACCGACTCGGAAGAACGAGTGTGATCGATGAACGACGTGTTCTGTTTGGAAATAGAACTCGATGCGAGGTTTTACAATCGAGGTGTATGAAGTGTATTTGTACATGTTTATGATGATTTCGCGATGACTGCTTCCGTCTTAAGATCTCAAGTCCATCTTCGAGTTTTCCTGTCATTTATAGGTTGTCTAGTAGGGCACTTGGCACAGTTGGTAGCGCGCACGCTTCGCATTCCAAGGCTGCGTGAGGTCAGGAGTTCGACTCTCCTAGTGTCCATTATACCATTTAATCTTTTTTTCTTCTTCTCACCTCGCATTTAGACGTATTTAAAGCACATTAGAGTTATATGATATCGTGACTAGAAAGAATTCTACCCCTCCTAACAATGGCAGGATCGTGAAAGGCCATTCCGACTCTCGAAGGTGCAACAGATTGATATATCGGCTGAACGTTACACTGACAATATCCGTTCTGTGCATGTGAGTGCCTTTCAAACTCACGTATAGTTGCTCGTTCTTCAAATTCAACATTCCCATGAGGTATTAGTACATGCGTACCTGTGTGAGGATTGAAGGCGCTTCCTCCCACAACAGGAAAGTTGGTACCACCGACATAAATGTGGTTGTAGTTCCCTAGAGCAGCACCAGCGTTAGTGTGGGCTTTATCAGGGATAGCCAGGGCCCCATATGGTTGTACAGGATATCGTTGATGTACGGGATGATGGACCGGGAGAATTTGGGAGGGCATTAAAACATAAGGATGAGGGGGTACTGTGTTGCTGTCCGTTACTTTAGGTCCGGTCTGCATGCGGTTTAAGCTGGCAAGGGCCTGTTCAAGCACACTCTGGGCATTCTGTTCTAAATCGAAGACCACGTTTGATGTACCTGGACCGTAGGACGGCGTTGGGCTGAATGGTGCAAAGGTAGTGTTGACTTGTTGAAAACTTTCAAGTTCTTCTGCTAGTATTGCTGTACTTGGGTCAGTACGAGGCCAAGACGACTGGTTGGATATATTCGGGTCACAGTCTGTCTGGACCTCGCTAGTTTCATCGCTTCCTAATATCGCTTCGGTGGAACTCGAACGGTTGGGTACAAAGAATTTCCACTCCGGTGAGTCACACTCCAAAGATAGTGGACTGGGAGGCTTCGAAGTTGGAACACCATGGTCAGCTCGTTCTCGCTTGGCCCGAGATACAGGAGGCGTGGACATGTACGGGAGCTCCAGTGATCCATCATTCTCTCGAACATCGAGTGATTGTTGTGAGCGTAATGATGAACGGCGAGAAATATTCAAAGTCGACAAAGGGGAACCGGCAGCTTTATTATTCAAGTTGGGATGATAAATGTACTTTTGATATGTCTTGCCATCGTTTCCTGTATATAACCAGAGCTTTTTTCGGTTGACTCCTCTATTTATGACGATATTCAACTGTATATCAATAGACCGATTACTCTGAGAGGCATCATCCGAGGTAGAATGTTGAGAATCATGTTGCTGAGTAGTAAGCCCCGCAAACTCGTGTAGCATAGTAGAATCTTCCTCTGTCTGCACCCATCATGATTTTAGATTGGCGACAAAGATGCCTGAGAAATCAATACTATTACTTACCTGTAGACGTGACATTTCATATTCACTTTCTTCACCGCATATCTGTCGGCAATTTTGCTGCTTGGTTGATTCTTGTGAGTGAATTTCTTGTGTTCCAACTTTTGGATTATTCAAACCTGGAACATTTGGTGGGCTCGCACTGTTGAATTGTGGCGTTGGAGGCTCGGAGCCAATCAACCCTTCTCGACTCAAGTCAATCCGAACTTTCCTTCGAAGCTAAACTGGATAAGCAAACTTATCTACTTGTGATGAAAAGGATTATGCTTACTGTACGGCGTGGGGGGGAAGTACTGCGATCTTTGTCGGATTGTTCCAAAATAACTTGCAATCTCCCCTTCGTATACATCCTGCAACAAAATTCTGCGCCTTCTCGAGGAAAGTCCAAGATGCAACGAGGGGGTGCCTGGCAAGGTCCAGAAACATACCGAATCGTCCATACACCTCCATAAGATTCGTAGGAAAACGCAAACTCGCATATTTCAGAAGAATTGATGAAGCTATTCGTGTGCAAGATATCCATCAAAGCATCCGTTCGTTCGTCACAGAATATCCAGGCTAGAGAATTGGGTGTCTTCCAATCTCGAACCTGGAGGCCGTACATGGTTAATGTTTGACCATCAAATTGAGACCCCACAGAATCGGAATTGATCGCTGTCAAGATCCATAGTCCCTCTCTGTATGCAGACATTCGTCTGGATAAGATAACGGAGTCCTGTGAACTGACTACTGGAGCCCGAAGTGGAATCTGTAAGACAGACGTCATTGCGCTAGACAGAAATGCTGGAAAATATTCTGCCTGGTCGAGAACAAATGGAGTCTTGGGCATAGGAGTGGGTTCTTCTACGACTGGCTCGTCCTGGAACGAATCAGCATCAAGTGATTGGGATTTTATGCCGCGAAGATCCATTTTCGTATCAATATCGAGATGAACCTCTTGCGAACGTTCGACCCTTGGGCCGACGTGCTGAACCAAATATTCATGCCCTTGCATAATGACAACAAGATGACAGCCGACGGAAGGAAATGTGTAACTGGGATGAGTCGTAGCAAAATAGATGGAATCGGAAGAGGTACACGAAGAGCCTGCATGACAGAACGTCTGCAAATTCAGGCTCCAGAGAAGTTCCTCAGATTCCGGTTGACAAATAACACTTTCTTTCAACTCTCCAAAATCGTCTCGATGGCGTACAGTGAGATTCATGCCAGGAACCCAGTTGTGAAGATTCGAGCAGAGAGTAGATGGTGACCGAGGAGAGGGTGGGAACCAGGGACCAAGGATTTTGACGATCATGACTTGACAATACTTGTACCCGATAGTGAGAAAGGTGCATTTGCCTTCCTCAAAAGGGCCGTTGTCATAGGCCTCGCCATAAACAGTTCCTTGAAAACGAAGAACCTTTACGAGGTACTCGACGCGGTCCTTGATAACAACAGTATGCATGCCAGGAATCAGCTTGGTTCGGCGTACGATCACGCTACCGGTTGTAAAGGACTCTTCCGTAGATAACTCGGAAGAACAAGATGATGCATATGGTTTGATAGAGTTTTCGTTTGAAGTGTGTTCCAGATTCAGATGACGCAGAAAGTTAATGAAGGGTCGTAATAGCATCGACATGGTAATTTGATCGTATATTTCTCTGTAAGACAAGCACGAAGGTTGAGTGTACCGATAGGATTGGAGAGTGGGCCACGTACTGTTCGGTCGTGAGGTAAAATGGTCGTTTCTTGCGCCCTACTCAAGCGAAAGTACTATTTATGCCCAGACATCGCTTTACAGGACCTTGTTTCCGCAAAAAGACAATAAAGGAAGACTTATGGCCACAGGGCGCAAATAATTTAGCGCGGCTACACTGACAAAACAGTATGGACCCACAATCTGATGCCAGCGACGAAGTACATCGTTGGCTCTTGTAATAGACAAAGGAAGAAACCGGTCCGTTCGGCACTTAGCACTTAACTGTTGTTGGCCCAGTAAAACGCGAACCCCATCACAATAACATAATTGCTTATCATCAACACTCTTCTCACGGCCGCCATCTTCGTCGAGCGCCGGTCCTCCCAGGTCCTCCCGCCTATTTTGCTTCCGCAGACTCAGGAAATCCAGCTCGTGTTCTTTAATTGAATCCACGCACCTTCCAACGACATCGGTAATGGTATGTTCTTCATTAGAGTGTAAAAAGATATAATTGCTCGACAGGAAAATACCCAAATTCAATATGATTCCCTCTGAAAGTGAATTTTTAATCTAATTTTTCGGATGACTAGATGTTATTGTTCGGACATCAAGCATACTACAGTATGAGTTATCACAGAAATAAAAATCTATCCGGCACTCTGCTGTATCTCAGTCTCTTCATCAATGTTGAGCAAAAAGTTCAGACAGATTTCACAAAATTGGCGCAGATTTTCCAAATTCGGAGGTCAAAAAAAGTTTGGACAAAAATCTGTCGCGGTCGCAATTTTTGTCTGAAAGTATAGTCTGGGGTCCTCCAACATTCTTTTCATTCTATCAAATATAGCTATATCTTAACCTGTTCCATAGCTTGGTGGAGGCTTATCATTCAAACCCCTGGCCCAATCCGAATTCGACTGACTCGGACTTTCCGATGATCGCAGTTGTGCCATTGTACCCGCCATAGCAGTATGCATCCCTTGGTGGGAGGTGTTTGCTGCATATTGCAGTTTCTGAACCCGCAAGTTATCTGTTTCCTGCCGCAATCGGTTTTGCCATGGAGCTGGTACAGATTCCGACCTGGACGATGATGCCAAGGTACTGTTATCAGCAGATAAAAAGGGAGGGCTTGTCTTTTCACTGTACACCTCAGGTATCTTCTCAGATACTATTTTTTGAGGGCTCAGGCTCAAGCTGCTTCTTGCTGCGTCAGGGTGACTGAACTCTGGAACTGCTGACGTCCATTCGGATACAGTTTCAAGCTTTGATTGTTCACTGCTGTCCAAGTTATCATCAGACACGGTTGCTCTGCGCCTTCTCTTTGAAAGTCTGAAAACCACGAGTAACAGGATGAAGATAAGTGTAACCCCTATGGACACGAACGTTCCAATGACGACGGGTTTATTGGTAAAGAATCTGGAAGCCTTGGTTAGATTCCTCTGAGAATAGAGAAGTAAATTAAAAACCTTTTTAAATGAGAAGGGCTTGCCAGTGGAGTAGAGGACGGAACAGACTCAGAGGACATAATTTGGGATCTTCAAGGTTATTAATGCAATGAGCAAATTCAACGCTCTCTCGAATTTGATACTCACACAGTACTGGAGGGATTGGATTCGGTAATAAGCAAAACCCATGGAATACCAGTTCCCGTCACGACGGTTGGTTGAGCATCATTTCCAGATATCAAACATCTGCCTCCATTCTCATCCGTGGCAGCGCAATCATAAATTGATGTCCATCCTGGAAAGAAGGTTGTGCCTGTAATGAATTCAGGGGCATTCTTCACTGCTCTGAATCCACCAGAGGATACCACAACAATAGCTACATTCGGAAAAATGAGTGTAAGGTCAGTGAAAGGAAGAATTACGCCATCTACACACCGGTATCGGTCCTTGTCGCAGCAGCTACATTCCAAAAAATAAGTAAGATGAGTAAAAGGTAAATAATACACCATTGACACACCAGTAATGGTGCTCAGGCCAGTCTCAAACACTAT